ATTGAGAAACTCAACTACAAGTTGAATATTGCCGAAAACGCAGTGATCTTTATAAATAATTGTATCTATGATCGTTTAAACCCAATATATATATATATATGCAATTATTTATGAAAATGACAGCATGTTTATGGTATATCGTAAATCATTGCCAAGTTTTTGAGATCAAAACATTTTTATTTATTTTATGCATGATAGAACAAAAAAAGCTGGCCGAAATGCTCAAGTATATATTTCTTATGTCTCTACAATGTTAATTCTTTGTTTATTTAATATAAATTCCTAACAATCATTTAATTAGTTATTATGATTTTCAACTTTGTGCAATATGTTAATTTTATGTGTCATTATTATCGATGATATCTCTGTTTCTAAATTTATTAGTTGAAAGAATTCCATTTGCACGTTGCTAAATATTAATTATTGGATGTCCTAGTTCTGAGTATTGACTCAGTTAATCGGAAATATAAAAGTTGTTATTGTAATGTAAGATTTCAACATTGTTGTCCAAGATTTGTCTAATAATTTTAGTTTTGTGCTTTTTTCATGTGATTTTTTATAGTGCCAGTTTGTACGTGCATTGTGAGTTTTTTTGATAATTTGGTCATACCAATATATTTAATATTATGGTACCCAAACTCACCACAATGTTATATTTGAAAAAATTAATAGATGTCTGTGATCCATTATCAATTTTGGCTAATTTGTGCGATTGTTTTTCATCACGAGAGATGACGTTTTTAGGTTGGAGTAGTATATTCGTAGTTTAATACTATAGTTTTCATTTGTTGCTTGGACGTCAGTTTACATGATTATTTTTATGATTTTTTTGTCCAGTTCGAAAGCTTTTTGTTTGACGTGTGGTTTTTATAATATATTACTATGTTATTTTTTTAATTATGGTTTTTATAATATATTACTATGTTATTTTTGTTGATATTGTTAGTTGCATTGTTGTTGTTTTGCTAATTTTTGTTTATTCGTTCAATTATTTTATTTATCGTAGAATTTTTATATCCCTTATTAGTGAGTAATTTAATGATTCTTCTCTATCTAGTTCTTTTCTCTTGCTTCCTACAGCAGAAGAGCGCGTATAAGCTCTATTTGAAAAAGCAGAGATTGTTGCATTAATCTTAAATGACATTCTACTTTCAGTGAGATCGTAGATGACTTCTTAATCCAAAATAACGCTTATAGTTAACCACAATGGTACCATCGAGAAACTCTTGGTGACAGTTTTCATGATATCGTTGCATGACGGATAAGTTGACGTCGGTAAGAGGTTTAGTTCATTCCAACAGAAAACTTGTGAGGCCAGCTTTACAAATCCTGTTCCATGTAGACCGACCGATGAGCCAGGCGATGGTGTAGCGGTAGAGTGCCTGGCACTGATATTGCAGTGACTTGATTTAATTGCAAAATGATCCCGCATGTCACATGCAATGTGTGTGATGCGTTGTTACATGTGCATTTAAATGCACTGTTTGTGTGTTGTTGATGCCTCTGGGAACTGTTGGAGAAAAGATTCGTAGTAATAAAAATAATATAAAAGCTAATAAATAATATTCAACAAATAATAAACAAACAAATACAAAATTGAATAAAATTTATCCTAATGAAATTGTGAACTATAAATTTTGGTATTTTCGGTTACCAGATAAAAGATTGTTAGCCAATGAAGATGAAGTAATGATGCTTTCAGCTGGATATACAGACTTAAGGTCATAAGCATTTACTAATTTTTTTAAATCATACTTTTTTTCATCCAGCTCACCTATTAAAATAATATAGTAACATGAATTATGTGAAATAAAAAAAACAATGAAAACCCACCCATGCCTTCTTCATCATAGTGAATAACATTTTCTCTCTCATTTTCATATTTGTTAATCTCATCAACACAATAATCTTTTTGCTTTTTCATTTTTTTATGAAACACGAATAATATGAACAGAGCAAGAACTGTATATACAAAAACAATTATCAAAATCATGATTACAATATTCATGCCATGTGCCGTATCACCAATTTACACACACACATACACACACATATATATATATATATATATATATATATATATATATTTACAATTATTTATAAAGATTTTTATAAATAATTGTATTTATGATAGTCTAAACCCAATATATATATATATATATATATATATATATATATATATATATATATATATATATATATTATATATAAATGTATATTCAACCGAGACGGCGATACTGAAGGTGGTTTCGGATATCTGTGACGCGATTGACGCTGGAGACCTTTGCACTGCTTGCACTTCTTGATGTAAGTGCTGCATTTGACACTGTGGATCATCAAATCCTGTTGGAAAGACTCTCAACTTCGTATGGTATCTGCGGTGATGCGTTCAGGCGGTTCCAATCTTACTTGGCAGACAGGACACAGGTTGTCTCTGTTGGTGACGATCTAAACACCGCCACCTCAGAGTTAATCCGCGGTGTCCCGCAGAGTTCAGTGCTTGGCCCTCTATTGTACATCATGTACACTGCAGATGTCATCAGCGTCGTGGAGACATCAGGTCTTTATTGTCATCTTTATGCTGATGATATCCAATTGTACGGATCTGGTCGGCCCGAGTCATCGTGTCGGGTGAATGATATGATGTTCGGCGCAGTAAACGCAGTGGGAAATTGGATGCTATTACACAAGTTGAAACTAAACGTTGACAAAACGCAGTATATGTGGATGGGAACATCGCATGGTCTCAGTTTTGTAGATAAATTTAAATATCCAGTAACTAATTTCAGAATTATACTGGATTCTGACCTTCCAATGGATGGTCACGTAAATAAACTTTGCCGTCGATGTTTTTACCAGCTTCATAAAATCATGTCAATCAGACGATATCTGACTGTTGAGTCAACGAAGGCACTTGTTTGTGGTTTAATTTGCAGCAGAATTGATTACTGTAATGCAATAATGTACGGTATAAAAGTTTCCCTTTAGAATGACATGCAATCAATGTCTAATACTGCTGCAAGACTGATTGCAGGATTTACGAAATTTGAGTCGATATCAGCTTACATCAGAGATGAGTTGCACTGACTTCGTATGCCGGAAAGAGTTTTGTTTAAATTGGCCCTCCTTGTCAGAGATTCACTGGCCATGTTATCTGAGAGAGCGGCTCCAACCAGTATCCGAGGTTACAAAGAGAAACATATTAAGATCTTCTGATAGGGGAGATCTCGTGATCCCAAAGCACAAATCTTCATGCTTTGGAAAAAGAAGATTTTCGGTGTCGTCAGCTCAAATTTGGAATGCATTGCCAACAGATCTGAAAAGATACAGCGGCATGGATCGACGGATGTTCAAGAAAAGTTAAAAAAAATCATCTATTCAACAATCCACAGCGATGCTAGCGCTTCTGATGTCATTCTGGAGGGGCGCTATACAAGTCATCAAATACAAATACAAATATATATATATTATATATATGTAAATATATATATTATATATAAATACATATATACATATATATATATATATATATATATATATATATATATATATATATATATATTGTATTAAGACTGTAAAAATGCAATTAATGATAAAAATCACAGCATGTTTCGTGTTAGTTAGCTTCCAGCTCAAATTTCTCAAGTTTCAATTCAAAACCAAAATTTTTATTTATTTTAAGCATGATAGAACAAAAGCTTTTTTTGGTATTCCTATACTATTTTCGTTATTCAAATTGATACGTTGTGTATGTGGCCATCTGAGAAACTTGAGATTAATTTTTTTTTATTATTCTTTAAAAATCAGGATCTGACAGACGCAGAAACAGTTACAGCATGCAAGGCAGTAGTACAAAATTAAACGAATAAATAAATAAAAAACCGAGAAAAAAAGTTTAAAGATGAAAATAAAAATAAAATAGAATAAAATAAATAATAATAATAAAATAAATAAAAGAAAATAAAATTAATTGACAATAAAATGAAGTAATGGCATAAAAACGCAAATTACTAGACTAGATGATGACTTAGTGAGTTGGTGAGGTGATCGATAAATAAAAACTAGTTGTGTGAATGATAAAGTTTTATTAAATAAAAACTAGTTGTGTGAATGATAAAGTTTTATTGAGTGTTAATATGTTTGAGGTATCTTGTGATGAAAATCTTTTCCTGATATGTAGATTGGGTGGCGACTTGATAGTTATGTTTGCGTTGACGAAGGTTGTGTGTTGTAGTTTTAATTGGTGATAGTAGAGGATGGATGACGTGGTTGTTGTTATTTTCTACTTGCTTGAACAGTTTTGAATCGAGTGTGTTGAATATTTGAGTGACGGCAGGATATGATGCAGGTAGATAGTTGAAGCGGATTAGTTTTTTGATGAGAGATTGTAGTTGCTGAAGTTGTTGTGTAGCAAAACCAAACCAGGAGGGAGCTGCATATTTGATGCGTGAGATTATGAGTGATTCAGTTACGTCGAATAATTTGATGCCTCTGAGACCATGTGAGCGGAGTGTTTTGGACAGAGCATGGAACCGGAACCGGAACTGAACCGTAACCGAAAACCGTTAAAAACCGAAATTTTGCTCGGAACAAAAACCGTAACCGAACCGAAATATTGTTTGCTAGTTTAATCGAAACCGAAAACCGTAACGAAATAAATAACGGTTCGATGCTAAAAATTTAAAAAAAAATATTTTTGTCAAATTCAGAAAAAAATATTTAGATAATATTTCGTCTTTTAAAATTTTTTGTTAATTCTTATTATCTTGAAAATTAGTA